TTTCAGATAGAGTGGGGCGGGGATGGGGGGGTGGGGGAGAGAGCTGAGAGAAAGAGAGAAAGAAACATCTATGTGAGAGAACCACATTGACTGGTTGCCTCCTGAACCACCGCAACCAGGTCCAGAGATAAAAATCGCAACCAAGGTATGTGCCTTTGACCGGGTCGAACCCATGACTCTTTGGTCTGGAGTCTGCGGGCTGATGCTCTAACCCCTGAGCCAAACCGGCCAGGGCATAGGTGTTTTTAAAAATCAGTGAGTAAAGGAAGAAAATAAAAATGTCTCGTAATTTCACAAGACAGTCTCCACTGACTTTTTAAGAAACAAGGAATAATGCTTGTAAGTAGTTAGAAATCCCAACAGTATAGAAAGGCATAAAATGAAAGTCTTCTCTCCCCAACCCATTCCCTAGTGGTAACTGTTGTTAACAAATTCTTGTGTATCCTTTTGGGGGGAAAAATTATGTATATTCTAGCCCAATTTATTCCTTTCCTCTACACATTTTTGTTATTGTTATTAATCCTCACCCGAGGATATTTTTTCATTGATTTTTAGAGAGAGTGGAAGAGTGTGGGGGAAAACATTGATGTGAGAGAAACATCGATTGGCTGCCTCCCACATGACCCAGACCAGGGCCCAGGATCAATCCTTGACTGGGAATGGAACCTGTGATTCTTCAGTCTGTGCACTGACGTTACCATTGAGCCAGATTGGCCAGGGCTGTACACATTTATTTATGTGCGTGTACACCGACACACACACATATACATATATGTCTATATGTATTTGCATTGTTTCTCAGTCACTACAAACAGATCTGTTTCATTCCGTTTAATAGATTAATAGTGTTCCATTGCTTGGAAGAACTGTATTTCTGTTTCTAATTAAACCATAGACTTTTTAAAATGTTTCTCAACTTTTTGCTGTGAACAGCTTTGTGGTAATGAATATTATACATCGTAGTGTTTTTTATTAGGCATATCAGTAGGTGAAGCTCATTTTGGCAAAAGGATCTCCAGAGCAGTTAAACTAACTCATATTTTGTTTCATATTTTTACCAATAATGTTATAAGTGCACTTAAAATACATTTTAATCCCCAATGTAAAATCTTTACTGCTTACATTTTATAGTTTGAGCTTTTCCTAAAAGTAGGTATTGTTACAAGTGAGTACCTGTATGGCTTTAGTTTTATTCTTTCCCCCTTCTTCTTCCTTTACAGTTTACTGTAGTCATTAATGGTAGATTGTTGCAGTTTTCCTAGAGGGTATTGTTAGAGATACCAGTTCCTAAGGAGAGGTAGATAATGGTCTGACGTGACAAATGACAACTTGCAATCACATTTTAAACCTTGGAACAGATGGAAACCATTTTAAAAAGAAAAAAGAAACAAAGGTAAAGGAGAAAGGAAATGACTTTTTTTTTTTTTTTTTTTTACCTAATTGTTTCCTTGGGAGGTATAGAAGGAATAAGGCCCTAGACTTTAGTTCTACCTTTTTCACCTACCCTGGAACCTTCATCAAGTTACTTTATCTCCCTGGGTTTGCTAATATATAAAATGAAGTAGGCAGGGAAGGTATTATTACCAGGTTTGGGATTATGATCATTAACTATGCATTTGGAAATATGTAGTACTATATAAATGTAAACTCTTTTTGCTGTTTTAAATAATAAAAAATGCCCTCATTCTATGCTGAAACACCCTATATTGTGATACTAAATTCATATATTTTGAAAGATAATCATTTTGTTTGTTTGGATAAAACTAATATTTATAAGTATAAACTATTTTCAAATGCCAGTTTTCCAGAAGCTTCTCTTTTATTTGTTTGTTTATTTAATAATCAGTCATAGTTTTTTTTTGGTTTACTTTTTTTTTTGTTAGTCTTCACCCAAGGATATTTTTCCATTGATTTTTAGGTAGAGTGGGAGGGAGGGAGGGAGATAGAGAAACATAGATGTGAGAGAGACACACATCGATTGGTTGCCTCCTGCAGGACCCTGACCGGGCCAGAGATCAAACCTGCAACTCAGGCACGTGCCCTTGACCTGACCAGAAAATGAACTTTGACCCTTTGGTTCAAGGGTTGATGCTCTTTTTTTTGTGGTATGTGCTCCTAGTGGGAACCAAACCCAGGACTCTCTGACACTCAACTGCTGAAACAAACTGGCCAGGGCGAGGGTTGATGCTCTTAACTGCTGAGCCAAACCAGCCAGGGCATAGTTTCTTTTTTTAAATTAAATTTATTGGGTGATATTGGTTAGTGATTTATTTAAATGGATATAATTATTTTCAAGAAACTGATTTCATTCTCACCCTCTCCAAACCAATACAGTGGAATTTTATTTTGAATATAGAATACTAAAATGTGTATGTATAGGCAGACATTCCTACTTTCCATCCTCCTATTCTAATCTAGATACACCATCAGTCAAGTCATGGTGTTTGAAACATTCCAGTATGTCTGACATAATATGATCATTAATGGTATCTTAGTGAATGGAAAATATTTGCAACCTTTTTTGTAACCCTTGAATGTTAACTATTTACCAATAAAACACAATCAGTATGGTAGTTATTGGCAATTAGTGCTGTTTGAGTCGTTTTACAAACTAAAGTATACAGATACCATTCACAATTCAGTATTTCTGTTCTTACCAATATCTAACATCAGTGAAAATGTACCATTTGTTCTTCAGTAGAGTAACTTTTTTTTTTTGGTACGTGCCCCTAGCGGGAATCGAACCCGGGACTCTCTGGTCCGCAGGCTGATGCTCAACCACTGAGCCAAACTGGCCAGGGCAAGTAACTTATTTTTAATCAGAAAGCCTTTTTTATCAGACTGTTAGATGGAATAATTATTAGAGTGTTCAAAAAGAAGTAAATGCTCAAAGATCCATTTCTTTTAAGCTCCTAATTTGAAAGAAATGCTGGTTTTTCTTCTTTATGCCATGCAAACCTGTTTTAAAAGTTTACTGAAAAGAAAAAGCAGCGTTGTAAGGCTACTCTGAACTTCGGATCAGATGAAGATAGTCATGAACATTGCTGTAGCCTTGGATAGAGGTTGTGCTTAAATTTGGGAAATAAAGTAAAATTATATGAAACAAAAGCAGATTAATTTTTGAAAATATTGATTTTGCTGTGCAATAATTTGTGTGGTGGTTCACTTCATTTCAGCCCAAAATGTGTAGTTCTGCCTGAAAGATATTTAGCAAACTAGAAACCCTTTTTATGGTTACATTATTCTATTCTCTCACCCCACTCTTCATCTTCCTATTAAGAGGAACTGAATTAATAAGTGGCACTCATTTAATTGTAGCAGTAATTTAAATAAAGATGGTGACACTTGAAAATAGACACTACTAAATACTGTCAGTCTTTTGTTAGAATAAGACAATGCTGTAGGCAATAATCATTTTCTTGTAAGAATTAAAAGAAAAAAAATAGAACCCTTGAAAAAATGCCTCCAGAGAACTAAGTCACCACGTGGAATTTGGAGTATATACTTAGTACAGTAGCATAAGGTGGACAGTTTTCAAAATGGGCTTTTAATAACTTATAAAAGTTTGTCTTAGATGTCTAGCTTTTGAAGTATTGGGCACATTCCTGATTTCTATTTTGTTTTTGCCTCTCTGCACCATTACTTAGGAGAAAGAAGGAAAATACTGTAATATCCCATCTCTTTGCTAGTGCTTTTGGCCTTCCAGTGTCTCTTACTTCTATTGGGCATAAAATAGATAGCTTTGAAGGAATAGACAAGGTTTTAGTTACAAAGTTTATGGCATTTGAAGCATCTTTTGAGTTTCTTACTGAATTTATCTTATAGGAGTTTGTAGATGACTTGATTATAATTTAATTAAGATAAAAAACAGCCACAAACTCTCGTTGTGATATTACTAAAATAAGTTGCTATTTTATCTTTAAGTTTTCCAGTGTATGTAGTTAAATTTATGAGAAGTGGAATGGTACAGTAGAAGGAACATTATAATTTGGAATCTTTGTGGTCCTCTGTCAGATAACCTAACCTCTCTAGACTTAGCATGAAAGGTTGCTAATTGTGTGGTAATTTACAAATATGTTGTTTATGTAAAATTAACCTAATGTATTGTATGGTGCTTAAGTAACATTTTAATTTTTCCTTCTGCTTGCTTGCAATATAATTTTTAGTTAAAATAATGTCTTAAATCTTTCTCCAGACCGCAGGCTGACGCTCTAACCGCTGAGCCAAACTGGCCAGGGCTCTCATACATTTTCAAATCGAGCCTACAGTCTGGGCATGTGCCCTGACCAGGACTCAGCTGGCAACCTTTTGGTGCACCTGATGATGCCCAACCAACTGGGCACTGGCTAGGGCTCATACACATTTTAAGCCAGAAATCAGCTTGATAACAAACCTTGAGCATAGTTTTCCTGTATTGATAAGAGGGAGTATTTCAGAAAATTTCAAGATCTAACTCATATCTTTTAAATTATATATTTGTGAGACCCATATTTGCCTTTAAAATCTGAGTCAATTCCGCCCTGGCCGGTTTGGCTCAGCGGTTAGAGCGTCGGCCTGCGGTCCTGAGAGACCTGGGTTCGGTTCCCGCTAAGGGCGCGTACCTCGGTTGCAGTTTGTCCCCGGCCCTGGGGGTGGCAGCCACTCGATGTGTCCCTTTCACATCGATGTTTCTCTCTCTCTCTCTGTTCCTCTCTCTCCCTCCCGCTCTACCTGAACAAAAAACAAAACAAAAAAAATGTCCTCGGGTGATAAAATCTGAGTCAATTCCATATTATTGTCTTGTTTCTAGATTCATGAGTGTTTTTGAATTTTCCTATATGTTTAAATAAACAAAATTTCAGAAAGGATTATATGGGAAGTTTTTGTTTGTCTTAGACAAGTTAGACATTAATACTTACATTCGTTTTTGGTGTCATATTAGTCATTGAATAACTCCTGTAACGTTTGTAATGATTACTACACAAACATGCTAATTGTTCTTCTTTTCTCCCCCCCCTTAGCCATCTGTTGAGTCTTCAAGTCCAGGTAATTATTTTCTATATTTTTTTTATAATCTCTATTGACTAATATTTGTCCCATTAGTTGCATAAAGGCTAGAGGAGTTAGACTGTCATCTGATTTGCTTTTCTTCTGAGTGCGTCTTTTCTCTGGGGAAAAAGAAATGGATGACATATTTGACTATCCGTGAAAGTATAGGTGAGGTTGCTGTGAGTTCAACCTCATGACTATTTGTGGGTTCTCTCTCTCTCTCTCTCTCTCATGTATTTCCACATGTCTTTCTTAAGTTTTTAATTGCCATTTGACTTGAAGTACATATGAAGTGTGCTTTTAAAAAAGGAATTATTAACTGCTTAGAAATATTTGCTTGTATAGGAAATTCAAAATATTTTATTTAAGAGAAAAATTATTAAAGCATTTAGTGAAGAAAGGAAAAATAAAACATTCAACAAGTGAATACTTAATGTTATAAATGAAGGAAGTTTTTTTTATATTTGAATAGGATCTGTGTTATTCCTCTGACCATATATATCTTTGGGTTTTTGTTCTGCAATACAATACTGATTCATTTTTTTCCTAACTTGGAGGTTATGACCTTTGGACCAAATCTGAGTCAGTGAAGTGATATTAAAAATTTTGAATATTTTATATAAAAATCTGGATTTAGGCTTCTCATGATCAAGCAGAGGTTCTAGCTCCACTAGGTACAACATTTCTGTGCAGCAGCAATTGGTTGGAGCTAAATAGCAGTCAGGAAAGAGTTTGGTACCAACTGGTCTTTCTTATGTAGTGTCCAGGGACTTTGTTGAGAGAGAGTACTGCCTTCTGCAGTGAATTACTTTGGATTAAGGGACAGCCTAATAATAGCTAAAGAAGAGAGAGAAAGGGAGCTCTCTGAGGCAATTTAATATTTTATTTGAAAACATCTCACGTATATTTTTTAGTTAGGATGTAATATTGAATTTCCAGATTATTGAAGCAGTCACCTTTCTGTGTTTTAAATTTTAGAAAAGTTTGTAAAAATGCTTAGTATAATATTAAGCTGCTGCTTTTTTAAAAAATGGATCAGGGTTCTTTTAGTGAACACACATAATTGTACTCTGTGTAGTATAAGGCATCAAGTTGGGTGGTAGGACTAGAATATCTCCAGATTCCTTCTAAATGACATGTGCTAAATTGACCGTTAATTTTGTAATATTTCAACTTTCTGGTTTATAAATATATTCTCGATGGTTGATGTTGGAAGTAGTCTGACCTCAGATAAATAATAGATTAATGTATCCTTTATAGGACATAGAATTATTCCTAATTTTGTTTTCTTTCAAACATAGGAATTATTTTCATTGAAAAAATCGGTTTTAATTGGTTTTTGTTGGTTAATGTTCTGACATTGCAAGTAGATTGAATTTCAGATATTGTTCTATAAATTTTTGAGACATTCTTCAGGTAAATACATAGGTACATAAAAATAATTTTTCCAAAAATTATATTAATGAGCAACACTCTCAGTTTTCATTGCCTTTGAATCAGTCTAGGCTGAACTGGAAGAGTAGTAGAGAATGAAGAACGCAGGTGTCTTTGATGCCCTTTACTACTAATAGAATGCTTATACAGATCGAATCTTTGGGTGTTTTTTCTTTTTCTCATAATTCTTTTTAGACTAAGGAAGATCTTTTGAGATAGTGTATCTAGCCCAGCTGGTGCGGCTCAGTGGATTGAGCGTTGTGCCATGGACTGAGAGGTCCCGGTTTGCTTCCCGGTCATCAGGGCACATGCCTGGTTATGGGCTCGATCCCCAGTAGGGGGTGTGCAGGAGGCAGCCGCTAATTGATATTTCTCTCTCACATTGATGTTTCTGTCTCTCCCTTCCTCTCTCTCTCTCTCTCAAAAAAAAAAAAAAAAAAAATCAATGAAAACATTACAAAAAAAGATAGTGTATCTAATATCAGACTTCTGTTCAAGGGAATACTTACTGTCCTTATAAGTAATACTAATTTTAGGAAGTTACACAAGTTGGAAGAAATTAGGAATAGAGGCTCATGTTAAAAAAATGTTTGGTCCTGCTGGTGTGGCTCAGTGGTTGAGCGTTGACCCATGCACCAAGAGGTCGTTGGTTCGATTCCCAGTCAGGACACATGCTCAGGTTGTGGGCCTGATCCCCAGTGGGGGGCATGCAGGAGGCAGTGGCCAGTCGATGTTCTCTCTCATCAATGTTTCTGTCTCTCCCTCTCATTTCCTCTCTCGATAAAATCAGTAAAGAAAAAAGATGTTTGGTCCACTGGTGAAAGGCTGTGTCCTTTGTAACATCTGCATTTTGGAATTCCTTCTAGTAATAACAGTCACATGACCTAAGTTAAGTGGTTTGTTACAGACTCTACCAATGTGGAGTCATAATACAAGGTTTAACCCGTAAGACTAGTAGCCATTAGAGGTGGGGATTTAGGGAGGGGAGGTAATAAAATAATTTAATGAGTGCACATGATATATTATAAACTGAATTTTTCTTTTGAATGTTTGAAATAATGTAAGACACCTTTTAGTAATTTTGCAGTAGGATGTAATTTTATGACAAAGCACCATACTCCCTATCCCTAACAATTTGTTGATTTTTTTTTTTTTTAGAGAGAGAGAGAGAGAGAGAGATACATTGATTGGCTGCCTCCTGCACGACCCCAGCTGGGGATTGAGCATGAAACTGGGGCATATACCCTGATTGAGAATCGAATCGGGACCTGTCAGTCCATGGGACAATCCATTGCTCAATCCACTGAGGCACACCGGCCAGGCCCTACCCTTATTTATTTTTGAGACCTCTTTCCCCCTAGGAGACAGCCTAACAGTGGGCCTTAGTAATGAACAAAAACGAATAGGATGATTATTTTGTCCCAAAAAACAAGGTAAAAAGAAGTAAAATAAAACAAAGAGGTCATATTAAGGCAAGAAAATTGAAAGTTTATAAAAAAACAGTACAGAGTATATGTGGGGAAAGGAATTAGCGTGAAAAGGGAGAAAAGATTCACCCACAGTATTTCGTGTAGAAGGGGATGTGACAAAGCTTTAAATGTAATTGGCTTTGAATATAATGACAAAAAGTGAGGGACTTCAGGTAAGTCATATAACACTCATGATTTGGTCTGTATACTCATGTGAGCTTATTTTTTTTTAAGTTGGAAAAGGAGGGTAGCAGTTAGGAGTTAAGCATAGTTATTTTGACAATATTTGCATCTAATAAGAATTATGTTATGATTGGGATAATGGTATACAGAGTGTTTGTGTGAGGTTTTTGAGAATTGTTCTGTGCATAAGGGAGAAGAAAAGTATAGTATCAACTGTAGGAATACATAGCTATTAAGTGTCCTAAAGATTGATGGATGGGTGAACTAAAAAGTTTTGGGAGTGTTTTCCATTAAAAACCCAGAAGGAAGGGATAATAATGATTGGGACAAAGAAGCTAAAACTAAATTAGTGGTTCTCAAATTGTGCAAGTCCCTCAACTAATACTAAAATGCCCTACTAAAATTATGTCATATTTTTGTTAATTTCCAAAAGAAATTACACTTTTCTAAATGTTTTTATTTTGTAAATCATTCTAAAACTGATAATTTGTTAACTCTTTTGTACTATACTGTATGTAGGATGATACTTGATTTAGCAATTAAATAATTAGTTATTTTATGTTTAATATTAATATTTAAACATGTTCCTCAGAGAGTACAGTGACTTCTAAGTGTTTTGCTTTCTGACTTGGCTTGTTATTCACTCATCATAGTAAACATAGGCTCTCTCCAAGTATTCTTTGTGGCAGGATACCTACTGTTTCTGGTGACTTACAGAAGGCTTGGAGTGCAGTAAAAGCACAGGCATTAGAATCAGCAGGCCCAGGATTCAAATTCCACCCTTGCCACCTGCTGGCTCAGTGAGTTAAAACAAGCAATTTAATTCTCTGAGCCTCAGGTTTTTCTTTTTGTCTTTCATAGGATTGTTTGAAGATTAAATGAAATAATGTATGTAAAGTGTTGAGCATAGCATTTAGCACATAGTAAGCATTCCAAAAATGGTTCTTATTCTAAAAAATTGTGGGAGGTGACAAGAACCCAGAGCCTTCTGCATTTCTTTATCCCTGATAGTATTTCAACCAATCACCGTTTGTATCACTTTGTTTTACTTATTGGTTCTTTTACTGGAATGAAATGGAAGGGTAGGTGCGTCTATTAATACAACTTTTAACAGTTTAAACTTAAATTGATTTTTTTTAATGTTGAAATTTGTTTATTAAACTGTGCTTTTTCAAACTTAAGTCCATGTTTGACAATAGCCAAATGTGAGAATAGGTTACAGAAAATGTATGCCCCAGCATTTGCAATCTACTATTACAAGGCTTGACCTATTGAGTACAGCAGGATTCACCAACCACCAGGCTAAAAATAGATTAGCTTACACATCAGTTACCTACTAGGTTATTTTTAATGCCTTTCATAAGAGATTTGTATGCAGTTGTAATGCATTTTGCTTTCACATTTTACCTTTGAGTTATTTCATATAAAAGTAATCTCAATAAATTAAGGACAGTTATTTATATATTAGAATAAATTTTCATGGAAGTGCTAATAGAAGAAGAATATTTGAGTGCAGCTTTATTTTCAGATGACTATATATTTCACATGACTATATATACTCATTGGGTCTATTAACTATCAATCAAATGATTACAAATTTTGAATTTTCCCATACAAAAGATCATTCTTATTTGATATGACCATTCTTCATAACTCAAGTTTTATGTTGAGATGATTACCATATTTTTTAAATGCTATACATATATTTTTTTAAATCTGTACCCTCCCATCCCCTAGTATTGCAGTTGTAACTGTATAGAGATGAAACAAGGCCAAAAATAATCCCTTAAATACCTTAGGAAAGGTATGTTTGGGGGGAGGGGTTATGAGTAAGGATAGGAATTTCAGAAAACATTAAATAACACTTGCTGTGCGTAGCTTTTCTTTGGTACTTTTATTTGACTTTCATTAGCTCCAAATGATATATGTTATGTTAATATTGATAAGATACACTTACTTTGATTTACCAAACTTTAAAAAATGTTCTTCACCAGGAGGTTCAGCAACATCAGATGACCATGAATTTGATCCATCAGCTGACATGCTGGTTCATGATTTTGATGATGAACGAACATTAGAAGAAGAAGAAATGATGGAAGGAGAAACAAACTTCAGTTCTGAAATAGAGGATCTTGCAAGGGTAAATAACAATAAGAACTAGAGGATTTTGAAGCATTTATAACTTTTTGTGAAGAGGAAACACTGGAATCAATCCCGTGACTCATTGGTCCGTGGCCAACACTCGAACTGCTGAGCCAAACTGGCCAGGTCTACCACTCCCTTCTTTTACTTGAATTCTGGAGTACCCTGCTATCCAGTTTTTCTTGTCTACTTGTTCTTGTTAATTATCCTCTACAGCAGCGGTTCTCAACCTGTGGATTGTGACCCTTTGGGGGTCAAACCACCCTTTCACAGGGGTCGCCTAAGACATAACAGTAGCAAAATTACAGTTATGAAGTAGCAATGAAAATAACTTTATGGCTGGGGGTCACCACAACATGAGGAAATGTATTAAAGGGTCGCAGCATTAGGAAGGTTGAGAACCACTACTCTATAGACTCATCTTCCTTACCCAGGGTTTAAATTTTGAATTTCCCAATTCTTGGTTCTGGTCTCTTTCTCTCTCTCTCTCTCTCGTGGAAAGTATTGCAGATGTCCCCCTTTTTTCCCCATTGATGCCCCCTCTTCCCACTCCCACCCCCCAACCTAATGTCTGTGTCCATTGGTTGTGCATATATGCATGTACGTTTTTTTTGTTTGTTTGTTTGTTTTGTTTTGTTTTATCCTCACCCGAGGATATTTTTCCATTTTTTGTACAGATAGAGTGGGAGGGAGAGAGAGAGAGAGAGAGAGAGAAACATCGACGTGAAGGGACACATCGAGTGGCTGCCACCCGCACGACCAACCAGGGCCGGGGACAAACTGCAACCGAAGTACATGCCCATAGCGGGAACCGAACCCGGGTCTCTCCAGACCGCAGGCCGACGCTCTAACCGCTGAGCCAAACTGGCCAGGGCTGCATGTACGTTTTTTGGTTTATCTCTTCCTACCCCTCCTACCACCCGACCCTCTGAGGTTCACCAGTCTGTTCCCTACTTCCATGACTCTGGATCTCTTTTGGTTGACAGCTTATTTTGTTCATGATATTCCATAAATAAGTGAGATCATGTGGTACTTATCTTTCTTTGATTGACTTATATTGCTTAGCATAATACTCTCCAGGTCTCTTTATGTCTTCTCAAAGGGTAAGAGATATTTCTTTCTTATAGCTGCATAGTATTCTATTGTGTAAACGTACCACAGCTTTTTTGTCCACTCGTCTACTGATGGCCACTTGGGCTGTTTCCAGGACTTTCTTTTCTTTTGTCTCTAGATCAGTGCTTCTCAAAGAGGGTCAGCTGCTTCAGAATTACTCTTGGACTTACTAAGAAATGCAGATTCCTTGCCTCTCCCCAGGCATACTGAGGCAGAGTCTCATGGGGTGGGGGTGCATGGGGCTCAAATCTATATCTTTATTAAGTATGCACATCAAATTTAAAATTACTAAACTATTAAGTAGTCTGATATAATGTATTCTCATGGTATCTATAGGCTCAGTATCTTAGTTTATTTTGTCTGCAGGCTCAGTACCTTTATTTTTTTAGCATTAACATATTCTCTGTTCCAGTTTTGTTTATCTAACCACCTGTTTGACATTTCTACTTGGATATCTCAATAGACATCTTTAAATTTTAAATGTTCAAAACAACTGTTGATTGATGTTCTCTCCTTCTCTACCTGTTCCTTCCCTGTCTTCAACTCAGTGAAAAATGGTACTACTATTTATCTTTTTGCCTAAGTCAGAAACCAGGAAGTCGTCTTTCTTTATTCCTGATACCCATTCATAATAATAGGCTTATTTATTTCTATCTACAAAAGTATCTTATTTCTATCTACAAAGATATCTCTTATCTGACTCTTCATCTCTGCTGCCAGTGTAGCCCATGCCACTGTCATTTCTAGCCGAGACTGTCACAGTAGCTTCCTAACAGGTTTCTCCATCTTCTCATTTGCCACTCTTCCCTGTAATATATTTCCATAGCAGCCATGATGGTTTTTCCAAAATATTAATTAGTTTATGTCACTCTCCAGTTAAAAACTTTTTAGTGGCTTTCTGTCACACCAGAAGAAAATCTAGACTCCTTGATCTGGCCAGCAAGGCCACCTACGTGATATATGATCCTTCATCCATGTATTACACGGCCCTGGTCATGCTCTTCCACAGCCCACGAGCTGCTTTCCTTCTTTGATGTGCTGGTTTCTTCCTGCTCCAAGGCTTTTCAGCTCATTCCCACTCTTTGGTACGTGCTTTCTGAGCCTGGCTTCTTATCCTCCTAAGTTTGGACTTAATATTGCCTCCTCAGCATGGCCTTTCCTGTCCCCTAATTAGTTTTTTTAGCCAGTGGACCCAATCCAATGCTTTCTGTAAACCTAACACAATTTGTAATTATGTTTGTTGAATGCATTGTCTGTATCCTTTAGTTCTACGAGAGGACTGACCATGTCTGTCGTGTTCACCAGTGTATTTCCTGAAAAGATAAATTAATCTGCGCTAATTAAAATTATAATGTGTACAGCCCTGGCCAGTGTTGCACGGTGGTTAGAGCATCATGTCCCATCCCCCATCCCCGGCCCAGGTTGAGTTGCATGTGAGAGGCAACCAATATATGTTTTTCCTCTCTTCCTCTCCCCCTCTCCCTCCCTCCCTCCCTCCCAAAATTAGTGGAAAAATATTTTTGGATGAGGATTAACAACAACAACAAAATTATACCATTTACAATATGATCTGCTGTGCTCCATAATAAAAAGAACATAAATATGACATAGTGCCGGTCTTTAAGCATTTAGAGTATGTAATATCATGGAAAAAATGCATTCTTATACGTTTATAGTAACAAAGACTAATCTGTGTTTCATAATTTTAGTTAGGACTTTTTTTTATCCTCACTGGAGGACATTTTTGCATTTATCTTCAGATAGAGTGGTAGGGAGAGAGGAGGCAAGAGAGAGAGAAACATCGATGTGAGAGAGACACACAGTGACTGGTTGCCACCCACACGACCCCAACCAGGGCCAAACTGCAACCGAAGTACATGCCCTTTAGAGGGAATCAAACCCGGTACTCTGATCCACGGGCCGATGTTCTTACCACTGAGCCAAACTGGCCAGGGCTAGTTAGGACTTTTTAAAGTGTGCATTTAAAGAGCTGGAAAAGAAGTCCTACTAATATTTAGTGAAATTTGGTCAGATCGTCCTCTTTTGGATTATTTTGTGATTAAAGCTGGCTTAATCCACAATGCCAAAGCAATTTAGTATTTTATTATTTTAAGCCAGAGAACAGAATTGGTCTTAGTGGCAGTGACGTATACAGTCATACACCGCTTAACAAGGGGGATGTGTTCTGAGAAATGTGTTGTTAGGTGATTTTATCATTGAGTGAACATCACTGAGTGCACTGACACAAACCTAGATATACACCTAGGCTATGTGGTATACCACCATCGTATATGTGGTCCGTCATTGACTGAAACATCACTATGATTATAGATGTTATGAAACCTTTTGAATAGGTTAAAAAGCATATGAAGAACCTGGAGTCAGAACTATAGAAGAGGCTAGAAAGCCATTCATATATTCATGAAATGGAAAGGAATTATTTTATTTTTTAAAAATGTGTGTGTGTGTGTGTGTGTGTGTGTGTATATATTTTTTTTTTAGAGAGAGGGAGGAAAGGAGAGGGAGCGAGAGAAACATCAATTGGCTGCCTCCTGCATGCCCCTTCCCGGGGATCAAGTCCATAACCTGGGCATGTACCCTGACTGGGAATCAAACTCCAGGACCTCTCAGTCCATGAGATGACACTCAGTCCACTGAGCCACACCGGCCAGGCAAAAGGCAATTTTTAAAAAATTATTTACCTAAATAATACAGAAATTTCTATCAGTTTAGATATATTTTTCTGTTTCTGAATAACCTATCCATGGGGTAAAAAGAGGAAAATCTTATATTTTCTATCTTTTCACATTCTACATAGCCCAGGTAATTAATTACTCAAGAGGACATAATTAAGTACAGGTTAATGGATTCTGAGATGGAATGATTGTTTTCTATTTCAGAAAGTGGGCTATTATTTTTGATTAGTATAAAGTTACTAAAGGGCTTTGCTAAGATTTGGGGCATGTGATTGTCTTTACCTGTTTCTCCTTTATTTTACCTCCTTCCCCATTCCCTAATAGCCCCCTAAAATTTGCTTTCAAATGACCATTCCTTAGGGAAAAGTTATTAAAATAGAATTGTTTATGGGGACATAGAAAGGAAGAGAACGACAAGGGAACCAGTCTTTTATCATTCTTTTCAGTAAGACAATCTTATACCTTCTCTGATTGTTCTAACTTTTCCCAAGTAAGTAAAGCTTAGGTTTATGCTACCGCTGAGCTAGTTTAGGGCCAGTGTGTTGACTTTACTACAGTTATAAAATCTTACAGTACGAACCAAACAAAACTGGTTTTGTCTTTATTTAAAAAGTAAGCAAGATTTTGTCCTGATTTGCTTTTATAGAAGCGAAACATAGTTATGTCAGGAATTGGTAAAGTGATTTTTACCTGGCCCTTTTGTTACATGAAATGGACTTTTGATATAATTGTGGCAGGATTTGGACAGTAGATTCATTCATGAGTAATCAGTAACTGCATAGCCTGTGGTTTTAAGTTTAGCATTTAAATTTTTTTATTCTCACCCGAGTACATTCTTGCATTTATCTTCAGATAGAGCAGGAGGGAGAGAGGGAGGAAGAGAGAGAGAGAACCATCGATGTGAGAGAGACACACCGATTGGTTGCTACCCACACGACCCCAACCGGGGCTGGTGACAAACCGCAACCAAGGTACGTGCCCCTAGCGGGAACCGAACCTGGGTCTCTTGTCCGCAGGCTTATGCTCTAACCACTGAGCAAAACTGGCCAGGGTGCATTTAAATGTTTTAATAGAATTAAATATACAGATTTGAATTTATTGCAGTGATCTTAATAGGGGTGTCAGAATCATTTTCATAGTAAATAGACTTTTGTTAGGTAGGAATAGCAATACGCAGGTTTAACTTTGT